AAAAAAAAAAAAAAAAAAATGACAAGTTATTATTATGTACTAAAATAGGAACTTACTGCAGGGGTTGAGTTTTAAAGGCAGTGTAGAGAAAGAAAATTACAGATTGCTATATTTTCCCTTGAGATTCCTTGTTTTGCAAGGGTATGATTGAAATATAGAAGCCAAGAGCTTTCTCTGCCCTGCCTTACCTTTGAAGGGTACTTGTTGATACTGGATGGTATTAATTAATTCACTTTACTCTTTAGATCCTGGTTTCTGTATGAAATAGAAAGTGTAATTTAGAGGAAAAAGTAAAATGCTCTGGCATCACACTCGTGGGAGTTTACTGCAGCTCACTAATTGCATGACCGTGAGGTGGTTTTTTGACTCGTCATCATATTGAAAATTAGGATGAGAATGGTACGGACAGGATAGTTAGGAGAGTAAGCGAACAGTGTGAATAGTGGTGTCTGCCAGCCGCAGAGTTAACGACTTCCTGTTCTCATTAAGGTCTCAGCCCACACTCGGCTCTTCACCTTCACAGGAATGGGAGCACTTCAGGCTGCACGCAAGTTTCTTTCTCTCAAATCTGATAAGGCAGGTCCTTTGTGTGTCTAGACAAGCCCTGGAGCAGGCTTGTACTAGCTTGGGAAACTGATTGTTAAATTTTCAGGAATTTTGCAAGCCAGTCTTTGAACACAGCCATTATTAAAAATTTAACTCTACCAATTTACAATTCAATAAATTTTAAAATAATCCCAGCCATGGTGGGAGTGTTTATACTGGGAACATTGGCAGAAGACACAAACCAGGGCTCTTTTTTTCTCCCAGACAGTCAGTTGCTCAAACATTCTCCAACAAGTGCGTTTGCTGCCAGGTTTATAAGCCACGTCTGAAACGACCTGCTATCTACCAAGAAATCCAGCACAGACATATTTTCCTCCAGCGTTCAAGCAATGTCTGTCCTTTCAGCTAAGCCACACATGAAGTATTTGGCTTTTGTCTTAAGAGCCATGGTGTTTGACAAAATGTTAATTTTAAAACATTTGAATTGGGCGGCGCCTGTGGCTCAGTGAGTAGGACGCCGGCCCCATATACCAAGGGTGGTGGGTTCAAACTCGGCCCCGGCCAAACTGCAACAAAAAAATAGCTGGGCGTTGTGGGGGGCACCTGTAGTCCCAGCTACTGAGGAGGCTGAGGCAAGAGAATCGCCTAAGCCCAAGAGCTGGAGGTTGCTGTGAGCTGTGACACCACTGTACTCTACTGAGGGTGACAAAGTAAGACTGTCTCTAAAAAAAAAAAAAGACATTTGAATCAGGGAACCAGCCTGTGCTCTGGAACTCGCTGTTTGTTGAGGAGCTCTGGAGCTGGTCGGGAGGTTCCTCTCCATGCTCTTCTTTGCCAATAGCAAGTCAGAAGACATTCTGGTGAAAATGATGAGCCAACCTGGGACAGGTTATTCCTTGAACACCAAGAGAAGCCACTTGTGGGAGAAGTTGACTCTTTTGCGCTATGATTCAATTGCGAGAAAAAGAGCCCTCTTCCTGGAACAGAAGAAAATATACTCCCTTTAAAGAATGGATTGAAAATGAATTTGATTTATAAATGAGAAGACTCAGGACAGGGATACTGATTCAAAATTCCTACAGTGTTGGCTGGGCGACCTAGCACTCTGGGAAGCTGAGGCAGGTGGATTGCTTGAGCTCAGGAGTTTGAGACCAGCCTAAGCAACATCAAGACTCTGTCTCTACTAAAAATAGAAAAACTGAGGCAAGAAGATCTCTTGAATCCAAGAGTTTGAGGTTGCTGTGAGCTATGGTGACACTGCAGCACTCTATCTAGGGCAAGAAAGTGAGACTCTGTCTAAAAAAACAAAAAAGAAAAAAAAAATTCTGCAGTGGGTAATAAAAGAAGAGGAAATGGCACAGAATCCCTGCCTGCCTCTTGTGATTTGAAGGCCACTGTGAAGGAAAACAAGGCAGTGAAAGAGAGCTCTTCACATTAGGACAGATGTCATTACATCGCACTTATTTACCTTTCTGGATATTTTTATAGCCTTTAATAAAAAAATTATAAATTGCCTTAAAACGAAAAAAAAAAAGAAAAACCCTTGAATCACATTCAAACATCCTGTGACAGGCTGTGACTGACACCCACAGAGGGACTCTTAGAGTCCCACCTCCCATCTGTTCCTCCATGGAGTACGGTCCTTGTATACAGTAGACAAAGTCAAATGTCATTTCCCATTCTCCTTTTTTTTTGTTATGTTTATTTTGTTGTGGTATTTGAGTCCATAAAGTTTTACGCGTATAAATTAAATATGTGAGTAGCACAGCAAAAGCAAACAGCACTTCACAATTTTCAAAGCTCTCAGATTGTGTCATTAAGTCTATCAAAAAGTCTGTAATATAGTTGGGGAAGGGGATGAAAGTGACTCGCCAGAGAATAAGCTCAATGATTTAACATTCATTCATTCATCCTCATAACCGTCCTGTAAAATAGACACATTTATCATCCAGGTTTTAACGACCAAAAAAGGCAAGAAGTCACCCAAGGTCACTCAGTCAACGAGTTGCAGTAAGGACCAAAGCTCACAAGCTTGTGACTCCCAAGCATTTGACTCTAAACTGTACTTCCTATTTCACAGGGTCTACAGAGTGAAGGGATTTAATTAACCTCTGCCAGTAGGCTTTTCTTGATGGCAAAAATAAAATGAATATGATTTTACGAAATAAAAGTGTTTTCCTTCCAGGGAACATACTTTACTCTGAAGTTATTTCTGGAAAGCTAATATGTAAGCAGCATGGTTCACTGGTGCCTTTATCTCCCAGGAAAGACTTGCCAAGTGCCATGGCACGCAGTGTGGGTTCTGCAGCCCCGGGATGGTCATGTCCATCTACACGCTGCTGAGGAACCACCCTGAGCCGACCCCTGAGCAGATAACAGAAGCCCTTGGAGGTGAGTCTCCTCGGCCCTCTGCAGGCGGAGCCCAGGGCAGAAAGTGTTCGGGTAACTAGGAACAGCAGTCCCAGCATGGGTTTGGGGTTCCAGGCCCCTGGGCAGCAGGTAGGCCTCCTTAGTACCTATCTGGACTCTAAGCCTTTCCAAGAAGGGCTATTTTGTTTTTGTTTTGGCAGCAGTGATACCAGAATTGGGGTAATATTAGTTTTGTTACAAGACTTTTTCCCTTAGTGGGGCCCTTTGTCACTCTGCACAGACATTGAAATGGGCTGTTTCTAACACTTTTAGTACAATCTTTTCCAAATGTAGAAATTTGGATAGGATGGAAGAATCAGATTTTGCTGTTTGTTTTTTTTAATGAGTCTGATAGACTCATTCATTAACTTTAGTTACCAAAATTAATTTTGCAAAGAGAAAAGACTCTCAGATAGTTTATGCTTTTATGTTCTGGTTGGGTTCATAATACATAATACGATAGAGGAGATGTAGGCAATAATTAGTTTTCACAAATGAGTTCAGTGAGCAATTCAATCTCATAGTTTACAATCAAAAGTAAAAAGGACGTTAACAAACACTGTAACAAATGTATCTAGTTTTAAATTAACTCATCACTGATCCTTAGAAGAAAGCTAAGATAAGATATAGGAAAACTTTTTGTGCCTTTCAAGAGACAGGCCTAGACAGAAACTCAGAATAAAACTAAGTAAAAACCTAAATGTTATATAGCTAATATATAACTATTCTCTAATATTCTCCCTTATCATTCAACCACTTCTTCACTCAAAATTTTTTTTGGCTTCTCAGCAAGTACCATTAAAACTCAGGCCTATAGTTTCAATTACAACTTTAATCAAACCTGAGTGGATGTGAATAATGGATAATCTTTATTCAGTAATGTAACCCACACTAATGAGGTAGAGCTCTAAAAAGCAGAAAGCTAAGGCTCTGCCATGCTGTTTGTTTGTTTGTTTATTGGAATACATACAATCTCGCAGAGACTGTTTCCAGATTCCATCCTGAAATTCATATAACAAGTATCAAGAGATCGTATTGTCCAGTTTGTCTAAATGCATGAAGTAGATAACCTCATTCTAGGTGTAAATAACTTGAAAAGTGTATTTTGGCACCCAACACATTTCCTTGTGCTCTTTCTAGAATTATAAATGTTAGCCACACTGACAACCTTCATGTTCATATTTTAAGAAAACAATAACATCCATAATATAAAGTTCAAAGAAATGTATCTAGTGTAAGCACATAACGTCTTAGATACTCAACTGTTACCAAACGTTGCTTCATTTAACTTAGTCTTTTTTCCTTCAAGATTAAGGGAATACAATAGAAAATTTGAATTTCCATAATGTATTTTTCTTAGAAAGAAGCATTTCTGTAATGGGTGCTGTTAGCTTTCCTGTGGTGGGCCTTTAGCAGGGCTTGTAGACTTAGCACCCACTATGTGGTCAAGAAAAAAACAAATAAAAAACCCTGACACTGGCTCACACTGGCTGTGAATGTTTGCTTACAGTTTCGGTGCCTCTTAAATACTTCTATTTCAGGGCATTCTGGACCCCCTAGTTCCTTCTTCCATTTGAAAGAATTCCTAATCACACCCTACTGTACTTTTTCTTCTTAGTAAAAGGAAAGACAAAGGTGTTGGCAGCCCTTCTTGGGTGTGTAGTTTCTTCCTAAATCATTCTGATGCCAATTAAAAAAAAAAGAGTATACTTGACACTGACGTGGCCATGTGACTCCCTGGTACCAAGTTTCTGCAACGCTTTATTTCCAGGTGTTTAAAATTCTCAAATCCTCACCCAGACATTGTTCCTAAAAGTTTTAAACTATAATTGAACCCAGTTTTACATTAACTTGTTAGTATGAAAATAATTCCTAACAATTATTAGTTAGGATGAAATTATTGTTAGTATAAAAACAATTCCTTTAATTGTTTGGAAAATGTCCAAACAATTAAAAACGAGGAAAAACTCATTCATAAATTTTGCCACGAAGGCACAACCACAGATCCTTTTGTGTCCTTTTGGTCTCTTTTGTGCCCAGGTTTTGTTCGCTTACTTGTGACTATTAGATATATATTTTTAAATTGTATGAACAATTTTGATGGCATAACATGAAAATTTTCCCAAGTGATTAAGACCTTTTCATGAATATCATTTATACTGGCTTCAAAATTTGAGTATAATTTTTTATTTTATTTATTTACTTTTTATGAGAAGAGTCCCACTCTGTCACTCTGGGTAGAGTGCTGTGGCATCATCATAGCTCACAGTCACCTTAAATTCTTGGGCTTGGGCATCCCTCCTGCCTAGCCTCCCCAGCAGCTGGGACTACAGGTGCCTGCCACAACATCGGGCTAATTTTTCTATTTTTAGTAGAGATGGGGTTTCACTCTTGCTCAGGCTGGTCTTGAACTCCTGAGCTCAAGCAATCCACCCACCTAGGCCTCCCAGGGCTAGGATTACAGGTGTGAGCCACCTCACCCAGCCTGAATATACTTTTTTTAAGAGAGTGGTTTCCCACATTTTTGACTGATTAAAACAATGCCAGGTAGTAAATGAACAGCTTGTGCTGTGCTGGTGGGGGCTCAAGAACAAGATTGTATGTGAAAGGCACGATGATGGCCACACTGAGAATTTATGAGTGTGGCAGGTGTGCAGTTTAGGATCAGATTGGAAAATAAGGAAAGAGGAAAAAAAAACCCTTTCTTTCTGGAAGAAAATGTAATCACCAGGTCTATTCTTCACTTGATCTTAGCCAAAATGCCGAGAAGCAATACAGGGTCTATTCTTAATGAACGGCTCCAAGGGGAACACGTGTTCCAAAGAACTATCTTAGTGGTTTTAAGGAAGAAGGAATGTAATGACTACCACAGTTAGTTACTCCACTGAAAACAAGAAGCACAGATACACAATATGTGCCTTGTTATTCCCTAAAATGTGATCCTTTCTCAATCAGGTAATTTGTGTCGCTGCACTGGATACCGACCCATTGTAGAAAGCGGAAAAACTTTCTGTGTGGTAAGTTTTAAAAGAAGAATATTCATTCTATTGACTTAAAATACTAATGAGCCTTTGCATAAAATAATCATTGTACTCAACAATCTCTAAAATAACCCCATGTTGGCCATGTTTCAACAATTTCTAACCAATGAAAGTTGTTAAAAGCCACTATTGGTATTTTTTTTTTTAATAAACTCTGTTGCAGAAAGATAAGGGCCCAATGGAAAGAATCACCCAAACACCCAAATGAAGGAAGGGGTTTATTTCAGCCTGCAAAACCCTGGTGGACTATAGTCCAAAATGCCTGAGCTCCCCAATCAGCTCTGTCCTTGTCCTTTTAGGGGACTCATGAGTAGACAGACAAAGGAATTGCCATATTGCCTGTCATTGGAGATTTTAAAGCGTGCCTGTGGGAACGTGGGCACAGGACTTACAGAAGGGGAAGCAAGTGTTAGTTTAAAGGTCCCAGGAAGCGAAGCTTCTGCAAATTCTTAAGAGCTGAGTCACCATGGGGAAGACTTTGCAGGAGTGTCCTTGGGCTTCTGTGAGAAGCCTTTTGTTCTTTCAGACCTTACTTTTCAGGGTATCCTCTCTCACTCTTAGTATCTATCTTGTTTTTTGTTTTTTTGAGACAGAGTCTCACTGTGTTGCCCTCAGTCAAGTGCCATGGTGTCATAGCTCACAGCAACCTCCAACTCTTGGGCTTAGGTGATTCTCTTGCCTCAGCCTCCCAAGTAGCTGGGACTACAGGCCCCCACCACAATACCCAGCTATTTTTTATTGCAGTTGTCACTGCTGTTTTAGCTGGCCAGGGCTGGGTTCGAACCCACCACCCTCGGTATATGGGGCTGGTGCCTTACTCACTGATCCTCAGGCACAGCCCCAGTATCTATCTTGTTTATAGCCCTAAATTTGGCACTTTCCTAAAAAGTATAGGATAAGGTCCCTGAATTCAAGAATTACATACTCTACAGAAGAAAATAAAACATAGAAACAATGAAAATGTAATTGAAAAACAGCATGTTGAAAGCTCAATATATCCCATATACCATGCACAGAAATCTCAAAGGAACATGGATTCAAGAGAGTTAAATGAATGGGAAGGAAAGAGACATAGGAAACTTAATGGAGAAGGGGAATTTAGAACTTGGTCCCAAAGTAAGTGATAGAAGTGAATGACTTAAAAAAAGACAGTAGAAAATTTCAAATAGGAAAATGCATGGTAGGACGGCACCTGTGGCTCAGTGGGAAGGGCACTGGCCCCATATACCAAGGGTGGCAGGTTCGAATCCAACCCCGGCCAAACTGCAACAAAAAAATAGCCAGGCATTGTGTCGGGCACCTGTAGTCCCAGCTACTTGAGAGGCTGAGGCAAGAGAATCACCTAAGCCCAGGAGTTGGAGGTTGCTGTGAGCTGTGATGCCATGGCACTCTACCCGGGGTGACATAGGGAGCCTCTGTCTCAAAAAAACAAAAATAATTAATTATATGTAACTTTCTTAATCAAAAACATTCAAGGTTTATCAGTTCTTTCAAAATACTATAAAGACTTTGAAAAGGTGCATGTTTATGCCACTAATGAAGAATTTTGAGAAATTTTACAAACTACATTATGGTTTGACCTAATGTTCTGGGTGAGATATTATTTATATTGAACTGTATGAATGGCCAATACCCTGCCATTTTTGACCTTCAAAAACAGCCAAGTCTTCATATGATTCAACCTATAACTGTGTGATTATTTTCCTGGAGACACGATATATATAAATGTATAGATTAAAAGTAGATATTTTTACTCTCACAAAGTCTGGGTCCCCCTATTGAGCCCCTTATTATACTTTTCATAGTTCCTTTATTATGTACAGCATTGTCCCCAATCCAAATCCCTTCTTTACTCTGTAGAAAATGACCTTTCAAGTATAAATATCAGCTGCCACTGTTGCCGCATTTCTGATGTGTCAGACCCTGCATTGAACTTTCCTTATATCTAAAATGTAACAAATGCGTTTGGGATGGATTTTATTATCCTAATTTAATAAGCTCAGCTGAGCTCACACGTGTCAAAGCAGGAGCTAGAACCCAGGTTTCCTTGGCCCCATGGAGAAGCGTGATGTCTCCAAATCGCCGGAGACCTTTACAGAGTATTTGCACATTGAAAAGGGCAAACACAAGTAATTAGTCTGACAGTTGCCGTAACTGACAGATGAATTAAAACCAAAAACACTACTTTGGGTCTTCGTGAAATGTCCTGAAAATTAAGGTTAAATGGTTTAGGGCTTGAATCATCCAAATAGGTCAGAATGACTCCAATCACATCCAAAACAAACTTAGGTTTTCAGTTTATTTATATCGTGTATAGTAAGTCTTAGAGGCAATCTGTCTCCCAGGTCTCTATTAAAGATACATGCTGTGTCACAGTCAAGAAGAGAGCAATCTGTTCCGCTTTTTTAATTACCACATTATAACTCAACTCCATTTATCTCACTTCCAGGAGGAAGCCTTAGCTGACCCTCTGCCACCTGTCCCACCTCTCACCTCCTTTGCCTTCCCCTGAGACTATGTGACACAGTTTAGGAGCCTCTACTATGAATGAGCGAGGCTGTGCACTCCTATAACTTTCTCTAATTGTTCAGAGACAGACTAGCTTGTCACCCACCCAGCCAGGCACTTGGGTAAATGTTGAAACGGTTAAGCAGTGAATTTGATTTAAACTGCATTACTTCCTAAGGAATCAACTGTTTGCCGAGTAAAAGGATCAGGAAAGTGCTGCATGGATCAAGAAGACCAGTCTTTTGTGAATAGACAAGAAAAAGTAAGTATCTAGCTTTTCCACTTCACTTGGGCTTGACTGAGAAAGACCCACATAAACCTAAATGTATTCAAGGTCTCTATTGCTTTTCAAAGAGTGAAGTGTAAAATATGTGAATGCCAGGCATAAACAGCCTTTACGAGCTGCCCAAATCAGCACGCCAGTGACAGAGAAGGCTGTTTTCCTTCAGTACAGCTTTCTCAGCCTTAACCCGGGCTTACCAGCACCGCCCCCAACAAGCATTCTGAGGGGCTAAACAGTGATGCACCTTCATATTTACAGCAAAAGAAAAAAAATCTACAAATAACATATAAGAACCAGCACAGACGTTTAAAATTCAATTTCTGATACCAAATGAGGAAAACCTGGAGTCCAGAAAATCTGCCAGGGAAATCAGCCCATGTGTTCCTGAGAGGGTGGGGAGCATGCCATTCAGGGGTGCCTATAACTCTGGCACCTCCATTCTGTGTCAGGGGCATCAGAGGTAAAGGCCTAACTCTTAAGTCTTACACTTAATGACTTCCGTACCTTTCTCAATAACTCTGAAGTTCTATTTGTATTTTGTTTTGTTTTATTGAGATATGTACCAAACTGTATAACGAAGATGAATTCCAGCCCTTCGATCCATCCCAGGAGCCTATATTCCCTCCCGAACTGATAGTAAGACATTTACTTTCGTTGTCTTGCAACAGAATGTGTGTGTGCCTCTTGTTTCACACTGTGTAATTACCAAGTTTTAGACATTGACTTGAAAGTACTACATATATCCAATGCAATAATAGACTAATAACCCTTTTGTAGGGACCCATTCTGCTCTACTGTAAGTAATTCAAAGCAGACAGTTTCAAAGAGTGGGGAGGCCAGGACCTCAGAGATGCTGTTGTTCACCTCCTTCAGCTGAAGACCCAGAGGTCAGAGGGTGGTGATTTGCCCAAGGTCACACAGTGACACTGTGAGATGTCTCAAAGGCAACTTGCAAAACTGGCGAACTAAGAATCAGATAACACTTAGGATAGTGGAATTACACTATTCTTACAATTGGCCATGGTGATTTCAACTCAAGGGAGGAGAAAGAGGGAGAGACAATAATGTAAATAGTGTGGTATGCCCACCCCGCCATTCCCTGACTATGTCCTGGAGAGAGCATGAGATGAGAGACAGGATTCTACTGGCTGCTCAGAGGTGTCAGTCCCCATGTACCCTACAGAGTGTGAGAGCGTGGACATGCTGAGTGTGAATCTACTGTTTAAAATTGAATCTATAGGTATAGATACATATAAATGTGTGTACATCTCTTTATGTATATGTTTATCTGTATGTGTGTGTGTGTGTATTTGTGTGTGTGTATAGACAGAGAATTGTTAAACAAAATCAACCTACAGATACTTGGTGAATTTTAAGCGATTATTTTTGAGGATAGCTTTGCCTGTATGCAGTTTTTGTCCTGTAGAAAACCTAATCCCCAAGCTGAATCTCCTTGAGTCACTTTTCGGGCAGAAGGAGAGCCTGGCCCAGGCTTCTGTCACTCCGGGCTGCTCCCTCCTTACACAGACACTTCACAAACACCCGCAGAGTTACTCCGCATCCAGGGTTGATGCACGCCTGTCACAATGTTTATTCATTAGTTCCCATATGGATCTTATCAATCTGGGTAGTTTCCTGATCCCTGAAAAGTTGGGTCTTCTCAGAAAGCTAAACCAGTGGGCCACTTGGACACCAGATATGGATATACTCATGGTTTGTTGTTCAAGAATCTCCCATGAACACATGTTGACTTTGCATCTCTGCAGAGAATGGCAGAAGATCCAAACAAGAAAAGGCTGACGTTCCAAGGGGAGAGGACCACCTGGATCTCCCCTGTTACCCTGAACGACCTTCTGGAGCTCAGAGCCAGTTTCCCCACAGCCCCGCTTGTCATGGGGAACACTGCAGTGGGTAGGTGGTTGCCACGCATGTTCCTTGGTCTAGACACGGTACCCTAAACATCTCTGTCTCATTGTCATTAATGGTGTCTGTGGTCCTTGAGAATGGTTTATTGTTTTCCTTTGCAAATGAGTCATTTATGTCACAGTTTTCACTCTGGATTATGAGTAAGCAACCTTTATTAGCATCTGTTGCTCTCCTTTCTAATTTTTCTCATTAGTTTAAATACTTTTCCCTTCAGGACCCAGCATTAAATTTAGAGATGAATTCCATCCGGTTTTTATATCTCCACTTGGGCTTCCAGAACTATATTTTGTGAACACCACGGATGCTGGTAAGCACCTTCTTATTTTTGAATGAAATGTAGCCACTGGCTGTTGGTGGCATTAGCAATCAACCACACACACTAGACGATTTGAGCACTCCATAGACTATCTGATCTCATTTATTCATTTACTCCTTCAAAACCATTTATTGTGAACCTACTATGTGTCTCTCTGCACTTTTTCAAACTCACCCTCCCAGCTGTGTCACTGAGTACCACATTGTCAGAGGAGCCTTGGGGCCCAGGGGAGATGCCACCTAGGTCAGCCAGGAACAGAGGGCTTGACCCAATAGGAAAATTTACAACATCTACTATTCAGTAGGAAATGTTCTAGCCATGTGGATTTACAAGTTTGCCTAAGGCCAGTCCCACACGCATACTCACACGTACACACACATTAAAAAAGTCTGGGCCACAAGATTTAAGATGTAGCTGTGAGCAACAATCTTATCTCTTGATCCTCAGAGCAGCTCTGGGATGTAGGCTTCACTGGTTGGTGGTATCTTGGGAAACACATTATCAAAGGGCTTATGCAGCTTCCCCACACAGCTAGACCACACGGCTGCCAGCTCAGTCAGGCCTGGGTCCCGGGTCTCCTCACTGCTCTGTTTAATAGGACTTACCTCACCGGCCACTACCCAGGCTTTCAATGGATCACAGGCTATTAGAGGCAAACTCCTATAAAACAAGGTTCTCCCTATAGCAAAGAGCAATCAAGAGGTAATTGCTTGCTAACGTCTCCAACCTGCCGATCTCAAGTTGGTTCACCCACTCTTTTTTTTTTTTTTTAACCTGTTGGAAATTCTACATCAACAGATTGGCAGGAAGAGATAGAGCAAAGGGAGCCAGTCAAGTATAGAAGACAGCTAGCGGGGAGGTGTGGGGGTATGAGGTTAGGCTGGGGGGGAGAGGGATGGGCTGGGTGGAGCCTGCAGAACCAGGTCACTCTTTCTCACCCTTTTCTTCATTGTCACCCAGCTCAGGAGCCATAGACACGGTTCCCCTAATCATCCCTCCCTCACATTTTAACACAACAAACTAACTGTGGATCTGTTTGTGTACAGAATGTGTATCAGTGCTTTCTATACAGAAGGTGTCAGAAAATGTATACACATTTTAAGGAAAAAAATCATATTAAATTGGTAGTACTCAGGTCACATTTGGCTTCTGCTGTTACAAGAGGGGCTCGACGTGACTTGTATTCATCTTTTGTTATTGGTATATATTGAATATTACAACTTTAATCCAGATTTTTCTTTTAAAATGTGTATACGTCTTTCGGCACCCTCTGGATATAAAGAGTAAGATTTTTTCACTCCCTTGGGGGTAGTATTGCCTCCACCGAGAATGCCTGGAGTAGAGGACATCACTACTGAAATCACAGCCCATACGCACACCTGCAAACAAAAGTGACCCCCGGTACAGGCAGGGGTCTGTGCTTATCTCCTTGATGAGGGGGTGTGAGGAAGAGAAGGGGGGAGAAGAGCAATGCACATTCTGTGGGTCAGTTTCCACTTAGATTTCATGATCTTTAAAAACATTATAGGACCAAAGCTGGAAATTTCATACTTGATCAATTTATTCAGGAAAACTGACTTGGGAATAAATGAAGCCGTGAACATCAGCTATGTGTGGTTGATATGTGCTAAGACGTGTAGCATATGTGACTAAGCATTGCCTGAGACAAAGGCTCTGGTACTCAAAATTGGGGAATAAAGCAAATTGCCAGCAGTATCTTCATTTTTGTTTTTAGCCATCTCTTTAATTATCTTTGGTTTTTGTTATTCCAAGTAAACATGAGAAGAGAAGGTATTTAAAAGAATGTTTCTGCGCAGTTCCCTTTAAATTCATATTCCACTACTCTGTTTTCAGGGGTGACAATAGGCGCGGGGTACAGCCTGGCCCAGTTGAATGATGCCTTACGTTTTATCGTTTCGGAGCAACCAAAGGAGAGGACGAAGACCTACCGAGCTCTCCTGAAGCATCTGAGGACTCTGGCAGGAGCCCAGATTAGGAATATGGCCGTGTGTTCCCCATTGTTTTATAAATAAGTCATGGTTATGGGCGGTCACACAGTTCTATTCAGTTTCACAAACATTACGCTGAAGGAATCCAAAGTCAATGTGGAACATGCTTATACAATATGAGTGTGAGCATGTGTGCCCACAGGGAGAGATTTCGGTGTGTGTATGTGTCCAACGTGACAGACATTATGCATGTGTGTGTGTCAAAGGTGACAGGTATCATGTTGTGTGCGTGTGTCAAAGCTGAAAGGTGTTGTGTGTGTGTCCAAGGTGTGAAGTATCATGTGTGTATCCAGGGTGAGAGGTATCATGTTGTGTCTGTCTAAGGTAAGAGGTATCATATTGTGTGTGTATCCAGGGTCAGAGGTATCATGTTGTGTCTGTCTAAGGTGAGAGGTATCATGTTTTGTGTGTCCAAGGTGAGAGGTATCATATTGTATGTATCCAGGGTGAGAGGTCTCATGTTGTGTGTATATCCCGGGTGAGAGGCATCATGTTGTGTGTGTGTCCAAGGTGAGAGATACCATGTTGCGTGTCTGTCCAAGGTGAGAGGTATCAGTTGTGTGTGTGTCCAAGGTGAGAGGTATCAGTTGTGGGTCTGTCCAAGGTGAGAGGTATCAGTTGTGGGTCTGTCCAAGGTGAGAGGTATCAGTTGTGTGTGTGTCTAAGGTGAGAGGTATCATATTGTGTGTGTATCCAGGGTGAGAGGTATCATGTTTTGTGTGTCCAAGGTGAGAGGTATCATATTGTGTGTATCCAGGGTGAGAGGTCTCATGTTCTGTGTATATCCCAGGTGAGAGGTATCATGTTGTGTGTGTGTCCAAGGTGAGAGGTATCAGTTGTGTGTCTGCCCAGGTGAGAGGTATCAGTTGTGTGTCTGTCCAAGGTGAGAGGTTTCATATTGTGTGTGTGTCTAAAGTGGGTGGCACATGAGAGGGTTAGATTGTACTGACATCAGAAGATCCTGGACAAGCCACTTGAGCCTTGCATGCCACTATTCAGGGTAAGGGGAGATGTTAGTCAAAGGGCACAAAGTTGTAATCAGGCAGGAAAGAGAAGCTTCGGTGATCTATTTAGTTACTAATAATGTGCTGTATATTCTAAAATTGCCAAAAAAGTAGATTTTAAATATTCTCTCCACAAAAAACAGTAAGTATGTGAGGTGATGGATATGTCAATTGGCTTGATTTAATCATTTCACAGTATACATACATATCATAACATCACATCATGCCCTGCAAATATATACAATTATTTATCAATTTAAAATTTTAAAAATTAAAATTATGAAACAAAGTAACAAGACAAAAAAATTAAAATTTAACTAAATGAGCTGACTCTAACATCCTGTCCAGCTCTAAAAGTCTGTGAAATACGTCTTCTCCAAGAAACAATAACCAAAAGCACACCATTCCAAAAGACTCCATGGCTGACTCTCCTCTCTTAGACCTTTGCCTCAAGGTCAAATTCTAAACATGTATACCCCATACGTTTATTCTTGGATGCCCTCAGTTGTCTAGCTTATCGGGATTTCCCTATTATTGAAGATTTAAGAATAACTGATCTGAACCACTTCTCATTTCACACATGCTGGGCAGTTTGGCAGGATTTAGCTGTACCCACCCACCCACTCCCTCCACCCCACCCCGGGATGCTTCATTTCTCCTGATGGTCTCTGGCCCTACTGCTGATTCTCAAAACCCGCTATGTATTTCCACCTTCTGCATCTTCTGCCCTTTTCAGAACCACACTGCTCCTCTCAAAGTTGACTTGTCCCCTTAAGGCTTCTGGAGGCCCCTGTTCTGAGTGCTGGTGGAGCGGGCCTGAGGAAGTGGCCTGTAACCACACCCACAGCCATGCGGCAGGCACTTTGGATTCAATGTCCTGGTCCCAATTGTTTACTCATGTCCAGCCTCCCCACCCCTCCATGATGTTGGATACTCTGTTTCTCCTGTGGCCATTCTCCCTTTTCTCCAACTTGCCAGCACCAGCCCCAGATTCCCATTCATTTCCCCTTTTGTCTTCCTGGGTTAACAGGCCTATCAAAGAATGAATCTAAACAAAGTCAAATGCTCACCAGGATCAGTTCTCAGAAAAACGTTTCCTCCTGATTGCATGTGAAAGAGAAACATTTAATCAAGCTCTAAGTGTGGATGGGGTCAGGAGTGGGAATCTTGTGCAAAGTACTGCCTAATCTATTTAACTGCCCCAAACTCTGCCAGATCTTTCTGCAAGGGAAACTGGAAAGGAGGGTTAAACACTTACACAAGATCCCTGTGTACATAATCTCTTACTTGTTAAGAAACTGAGAGCAGCTTTCTAAATGTCATCTTTTTTGATCTAGACTTTAGGAGGACATGTGGTAAACCGGCCTAATTTTTCTGACCTGAACCCTATTTTAGCAGCAGGAAACGCTACCATCAATCTGATGTCCAAAGGTAAGACTCTGGAGCCAAGCTTTAGGCAGTTTTTAATTTTGTACTTACCACTGTCAGTTATGTAGTTCCTGATCTGACCTAGGGACCCAAGCGTAGCAATTTAGAGGCACATGCCATCTGCATCACCTCACACCTGAGCGAGAAGTTGGCCTCAATCCTCCTGCTCGCCAAATGCTCCGGGTCTCATAGATCAGATACTTCACTGCACCTGACAAGTCTCCTTAGCTATCTGGCCGCATTTATGAGCAGTCCAAATTATAGTATGAAAGCAGTTGAAGAAGAAATTAATGAGAAGTATCTCTGTGGTTTTAAAAGTTTATGGCATATTTCACTGCAGAGTTTCTTTCATACAGACAGCAATTTTTCTTACAGGACTCTTTGTTTTAAGCACAAATTTCTGGGAACGTATTTCTCACTCCTTCTCTTTTTATTCCAAAACCTCATGGGCTTTGTGGAGGGAAAATGATTTAAGCTTGATGAAATAGAAACAAATACAGATTACTTATAGAGCTATTGATGTAAGATATTTTCTTCTCGATTAAAATTACATTTAAAAACTATTATGGCTCAAATAAGAGAGTAGGATAAACTGTTTAAGAATACACAGTAACGTGCTGTACAGGCATGGATCCTAGGAGCAACAGGCCAGACCTTATAGCTCAGGTATGTGGAGGCTGTGCCATCTGGGTTTGTGTAAGGACACTCTAGGATGTTCCCACAATGACGAAGCACCTCAGGATATATTTCTCAGAAGGTGTCCCCATCATTAAGTGACACATGACTATCAGAAATCCCACCTCTGCCCCTAGTCCCCTTCCCAGACCTTCAGAAAGGTCATTTAACCTCTCTGGACCTCAGTCTTCCCATCTGTGAAATATGTACATCATACTGGGTTGTTTCCAAACAGCTTTAAAGTCCTTCAAGGCCAAAATTTGTGAGTAGTGTGCAGTGGTCCATAGGAAGCAGAAAAGACTTTCAGCTTACATCCCCCAACCCCAACATTGCACAGCCAAGGATCTCAAAGCTTCTGGGACTTGCCCCAGGTGACCCAGCTTGGGAGCTGGGAAGAGAACTGTATCCACCATACTCGTCACTGGTGCTGGCTGTGTATTCTGCAATCTGATAAACTCATCCTAATCAAGGCCATTTCTCTAACAGACGGACAACGGCAGATTCCTTTAAATGGCCCTTTCCTTGAGAAATCACCTGGGGCCGACCTGAAACCGGATGAGATTGTGCTGTCTGTTTCTATTCCCTTCTCTACTCAGGTGAGTCTCCCCAGAGTCACCCCCCAGCCCTGAGCAGCGAGCCAACAGATGGGCTTCCAGGGGCAATGGTAGCCTCGAGTTAGAACCAGCTGCTTTGGGAAGATGATTTGGGCTGCAGCACAGGGAGGGGTAAATTCCCAGAAGACCATTTGATTTGCTTTCACATCAGGGCCATGTTATGACATTTATGAGCCCTAGACACTTCTGCCTTTGTGGATCCCTTCCTCCATAAAAAATTTTATCACATATATGTATATATGTGTGTATGTATATGTGACTATGGCAGTATAAAGAGGAATATAAGCCCGGCTGCATTCAGTCTTCCATACATATTATTATATTCATTTTTTTCTTTTGATTTTAAAAGACATTAAAAATAAGACATTTGTGGCTTGGCACCTATAGCTCAGCAGCTAGAGCACCAGCCACATATACCAGAGCTGGCCGGTTCGAATCCAACCCGGGCCTTCTAAACATCAATGACAACTACGACCAAATAATAGCCAGGTGTTGTGGTGGGCATCTGTAGTCCCAGCTACTGGGGAGGCTGAGGCAGGAGAATTGCTTAAGCCCAGGAGTCTGAGGTTGCTGTGAGCTGTGATGCCACGGCATTTTACCCAGGGTGACAGCTTGAGACTCTATCTCAAAAAAAAGACATTTCCAATGGCCTAAAAGTATCCTGGGCCCTAACATTTTGTGTGAGTTGAATTTCTGGTTTCAGATAAACAAGCATCTTAGCCATCATTGAGTAAGTCTAAAAATCAATGTAATTTACTAACCATCTACGATCTATATCCCAGTCACAGTGCTAAACCCAGGAGACACTATACAAATTTATAAGACAGGGATGGGTTTTGTAAGACATGGATGGGATCTTTTTCTCCAAGGTTCCTAAATCTAACAGAAAGGGCTTGAAATAGAAAATAACTAATCATGCCAGACAGGAAATGGGAGGATGAAGAGCTAAAGTGTCTCTGGTGATGGGGGAGAGTCCTTCCCTGGGGGGAAGGAAGGCAGCTAGGGCAGACATGGAAGATGGTCTCCTTTGAAGCAGTGGGGAGAAGGGAGTGGCCATTCTGGGCAGGTGCACACAGGGGTGGAGGGTGCAGGCTGGGAGCCGGAGAGCAGGCCGAGAGCCGGAGAGCAGGCCGAGTGCTGGAGATGAAGTGGCAGGGAGACTGGGCTCCATCACCAAGCACGTCCTTTGTTCCATCAAGGAGTTTGTGTGTGTTCTAGCACGTGGCCACCCTTAAAGGTTTGAGAGCAAAGTAACATTTAAATGAAAGTGGTATTTTAAGAATATCGATGCAGTGGAAAGAAGATAAACTGGTTGAGGGACAGACTAAAGGTTGAATGATCAATTGGGAGGCTGATGTAGTAACTCAGGTGGGAGATGATAATGTGGGTCATGGCAACAGGATGGAGAGGAAAGTCCCCACTGGTCAGTTCAGCAGAGTAAATATGAACAGGGTGTCTCAAACGCTACCTTATCACCCCAGTGTGTTTTTATTGTATTTATTTATTTATTTATTGAGACAGGGTCTCTCTCTGTTGCCCCAGCTGCAATGCAGTGGTATCATCATAGCTCACTGCCACCTGAATTTCTGGGCTCAAGTAATCCTCCCATCTGTCTCCCAAGGAGCTGGGACTATAGGCATACTCCACCACACCCAGCTAATTTTTCTATTTTTTGTAGATATGGGGTCTAGCTCTTGCTCAGGCTGGTCTCAAACTCCTGACCTCAAATGATCCTCCCACCTCAGCCTCCCAGAGTCCTACAGGTGGAGCCACCATGCCTGCCCATCAGTGTTAATTCTATATCAAAAATGTTTTATTTTTAATATCCTTCCCTCGCACCAAAATGCTGGCTGCACAAAGAGGCTTCCTCACTTCATGGCTGTAATGTTCCATTCTAATATTGAGATCCAACCTGCAATGACAGATTTGGGCCTAGAAAGAACTTTGGAGACCATCTGGCCTTTCAATCTTTTTCTTTTTCTTTCTTTCTTTTGATAGTAGAATGCTTTATTCAATGAAATGTCCATAGAACACCAAACTAAAACAGATAAAAATGAAGCTGTGGCAGTTCAATCCCAGAGGCATCCTATCTCCCAATCTTCCCCTAACCCCACTCAGCAGCTGAGAAGAAACCATCTGAACAAAACCAATCTTCTCATTTTAAAGACAGTTAAGGCCCATACAGTTCAAGTCCCTCCCCTAAGGAGGTATGTGGTGATTAGGAGTTGAAAGGCACAGGAGAGCTTAGCAGGTAAGTTCAGACCCTGGAGCCAAAGAGCTTTGGTTCCAACTTCAGCTCAGCCACTTACTGTGCGACCTTGTGCGAGTTATTTAATAACTGTGCGAGTTATTTAACTCCTCTGTGTCTTCATCACAAACTAGGAATGAGGGGAGGTGCGACCTTGTGCGAGTTATTTAATAACTGTGCGAGTTATTTAACTCCTCTGTGTCTTCATCACAAACTAGGAATGAGGGGAGGTGCGGTAAGGAGTAAATATTGAACATATACACGGCACATAGGAGGGTGTTTCTGTATAGTCAGCACCTTGGGCAAGAGCGGTGCCCATGTGACATGTCACTCTATCCGTGAAGGACCCTTTTCATTATAAATAACCATCAAAGTGCTACCGTCCAGCCTCAGTGGGGATGACCTGTTTTCTATGAGTGATTTTCTATCTCCAGTGGCACTTCGTGTGGGGACTCCGGCTGGCCCAGCGTCAGGAGAATGCCTTTGCCATTGTCAATGCCGGGATGAGCGTGAAGTTTGAAGACGGCACGAATGTTATCAAGGAACTTCAAATGTTTTACGGAAGTGTTGCCCGCACTGTTGTCTCTGCCAGCCAAAGCTGCCAGCAGCTCATTGGCAGGTGTGTCACCACATCTGGAACACGACACTCGGGCCTTTCCGGTGGTATCTTTTTAATGAAAATAGCACTGGGGGAATTTTCTTCTGATTATAAGAATATATATGATTATCTAGAAAATTTAAGCTCTGCAGAAAAGTATAAAGAAAATGTAAGAAAGTATAAAGAAAATGTAAAGAAAAGCCACACAAAAGCCAACTTCTTCAAGGTGCAGTGATTCTTTTATTGCAGGATTCTGTAATAAGATTACTGCACAAATGACATGGTGTGAGTGCATGTTATCTTTAAATTCTCACTTTTAATTAACCTGCATAATAAGCAAATGTCTCTAATACTGTGTCCTAAAATATCTGAAAATGTCCTTAAACCACATAGAAAAGAAATAGTCAAAAAGGTGAAATGGCCTGCCTTTCCTCACTGTTTCTAGCATTTGAGAAGGAAGTTTTTAAAATTCTTCCTGGGAGTGCTTTCACAATCCTTTTATGCACCCTATACCATTGTCAACAATTAAAACTTAATGGGAGTTTCTCCTCAGATACAAAAATAACTCTATGCTTCCAAAGCAGCTTTGTAGAAACTTTCACTTGAGAAATATTTTACACCTATCGTCAATAATTCAGTCATTTACCAAATACAGAACTGCTGTAGATGGCCACCTCCCCACATTGACCATCTCCTTCAGTTGACCTAATTTTCATAGACCAGACATGTACCCCTGTATGTAGGCCTCGTTCCTTATGTTGCCCACCTCCATATGTTGACCAGTTCGTTAGAGTCCCTGGATGGTCATGACAGAGGTTCTACTGTATTCATTCAGCATGGAGTGCGGGCCAGCCACTGGTCGTGTTGCTGGAGATATAGCAGTGGACAAGATAAAGTCCCAGATCCAGGGCCGAGGTACACGCTACATGCTGGCTTCCCCTAAATGCCAGGGAGCCCGTTGCCTCCGTCTGGGAAGGCTCCCCATCAGCGGAGCCTGTCGTGGGGGTCAGGTCAGAGTCCTGGAGCGCCGGGGCAGCAGCCAGTCTTAGCAGGAGCAGCCTGGACCACTTCTCCCGAGGCTATCTGCAGACGTGATCGGTGGCGCTTTACACCACAGGTGGAGACTGCCAAAGTCTGCTCTCGTGCTCTTTAATGAGTGTCAAATCCCTTTCCCATTCCCTTATTACCCGGGTCTTTCTTTTCAGGTGTCTGCTACAAAGTATTTTCAGGATATTTTGCCTAGATTTCACAGATAAGCCCAGACCGCTCCCCATCCTTTCTTGCCGAGTCGGGGTAGTGTCTGTCGTTGTGAAATGTTCGCCTTCTTTGCTCCCAGGCAGTGGGACGACCAAATGCTGAGTGACGCCTGCCGCTGGGTCCTGGCCGAGCTTCCCATCCCGCCGGCCGCGGAGGGCGGCATGGTGGAGTACAAGCGGACCCTCATCGTCAGCCTGCTCTTCAAATTCTACCTCAAAGTCAGACGAGGACTGAATAAAATGGTAAGTCGCTTCTCTGGGTCTCTGGGTGCCTTCACGTTTCCCCACGAGTCTGCGCAGGAAAGCCCCCACCTGCCTTTGATACACTTTGAGGGTACCTGGGTGGGCGCTGCCGCTCCGACCCTTCCCTCTCCCCTCCGTTCCTGGGCTGGGAAGAGAGTACCACTATTTCTTCTGCCCTGTAATCCGGGTGACAGACGCTAGTGTGTGACATCGGGTTGACCTACCGTATGGAAAAGCCTTCAGCAAGCAAACTTTAATACCTTTTCAGGGCCCAAAGGAAATTCTCTTAAAAATATATACTTTAATCTTTAGAAAATGTGAATAAGCCAAAAAGAAGGAGGAAATCATTTGTATCTCCATCTCCCAGAGATAACCACTATGAACATTTTGGTGGGCGTGGCTCCAGCCAGCACGGACATGCACGTAGTGTGTAACTCTGGTGTGGCTGATTTATTTCACTCAGTGACATAAACATCTTTCCATTAGATGTTTCCATCTTGCCATTAAATGTTTTTCAGTAATATCACAGCATAACGGTTGCAGGGTGTGTTTATGGATAGATATGTTATTTGTTGGTCCTTATTTTTGGACATTTGGGTTGTTTCTAGTTTTCTGTTCACCATTTTCTCCTTACCTAGTCTAGTTTAAATAAGCAATGCTTCTCAGAATATGATGCATGACCGTGAGCGTCCCCTGGATCAGCCACAAGGTGATCCCAAAATGGCAACACCAGCATTTCTTTATGATTAACAGCTTTGCTTTGTTATTTCCACTAATCTTTTCTTATTATTATATGAACATTTATTATCATTTTTATCATATTCTATTATACAACGCATACTCTATTATATATTATATAACATATTCAATATGTAGATGAGTATATATTTGATAGATGTTATATATACTCTTAAATATGTTTTATATATTTATATTGTATACTGTCTTACATATTACATTTATTATTATATATTCTATCACTACAGAAGAATTCAAACTGAGGTAAGTAAAAATTTTAATAATCATTAGTAATCCAGTAATCTTACTGCAACCACATTAACATTTTAAAATATATAATTTTATATTTTTCTATTCATTTTTTTACAAAAAAGGAATCATACTGTACATAAATTTTTATAATCCTTTTTCACTTAACTTTATTTCATGAGCATTTTTCAATGTCAGTAAATACATTTCTATAAAATCATTATTCATGACTTCAGAATATCATATCTGGATGTACTAGAATTTCTCTAGCAATTCCCCTGTCATTGGACACTTAGTTTAATTCTTGTTCCTTCACTATCACAAATAATCTGCAATTGAATATCTTTGCAAATTAATCTGCCCATTCTGTCAATTGCTTCTTTGAGATACACGCTCACAGGGTTGACCCAGATTCGCAAGGACAGCCTCCATTTGGAAGTGTACCTATTTCCACTCATTCAAAAGCAGAGCTTGTCATGAAAGGAAGTCTTCACCTCTTTTCTGCTCTCTTTTCTGTGCACATAAATAGACGTAGTTATTCTGCAAACAACTGTGTCACTGCTAGCCTGGGGAACTCGAAGGTCAAGGCTTTCTCCCAGCAGAATCATCATCTAAGGTGTGGGAGAATAGATCCGATAACTTTATTTCTATGTGTTTTTCCAATGTGCTTTCTCAGATTGTAAAATTATATGTGAAATAATCTTCTTTTCAGGATCCCCAGAAGTTTCCAGATATCCCAGAAAAGTTCACAAGTGCTCTAGAAGATTTCCCCATAGAAACACCTGAGGGAATGCAGATGTTCCAGGTTGGTGGACAGGGTTTCTTGTCTTTTATCTGTTCTTTTCATTCAGATGTATGCACTATGCACACATCTCCCTCTTTTCAATAACTATACACTTTATTACTCTAAAGATAACATCTGCTAAACCAGCTGATGTCGCCTGTTGCTGTCCATACATAATTTGCTTGGTTTAGCTTTTGTGCTGTTACACAAGGCTACATGGGAATTAGATTGCATATCATTCTTCTCCACTATTTTCATTTTGTTGCCTAAAATTTACTCCTTTTTTGGCCAATATCAGTCCTTCCTTCAAAGCCTTACTCAACATTTATGTCTTTAGAAATCTTCCCTGTTTTGTGACATCTTAGGATGTCTTCTTTTGGTGAGGGTTTGGGGGAGCTGTAACCAGAAAATATCCCTTACCACAGTATTCAGTGGATATTTATTAACCATCTAGACACCCAGTTGCCATGGGTTTTGTTTGTTTTGGTTTTGGTTTTGGTTTGGGGGGGTTGTTGGTTTTTTTTTGTTGTTGTTTGTTTGTTTGTTTGTTTTCTGTTTTGCTTGTGAGTGAGCCAAATATACCAGACCTAGTTTTCAGGGCATGAGAATTTCCAGTGGTAAAATAACTAGCTTTGTTCCTTAACAGTGTGTAGATCCCTGCCAACCTCCTCAAGATCCAGTTGGACACCCAATCATGCACCAGTCGGCCATTAAACACGCCACAGGAGAAGCCATATATATTGACGACATGCCTCCTGTGGACCAAGAACTCTTCCTGGCTGTAGTCACCAGCACCAGGGCTCATGCAAAGATTTTGTAAGGGAGTAAAAGATGTTTCTCTGTATTACTGAAACACATTCCCACCCTCACATTCAAACTGAGAGCTTGTTACATATTTAAGTTGATTAAGAGTGTGCATTTTCTCTTCTGAATTGAAAAACAGCCATTTTTTAAGCATGGTTATGAAAGATTCTGTAACCGAGAATTAGAACATCTGCCGAATGGTATTTTTCAACATAAAATATTGCCTCATAATTTAGTGATGAGGTCCATTATAGTTTTCCCCTATGTTTGACGAATCATTTATATCATATTGTAAACGTGCCCCGGCAGCTTTAGTATCAACCTCCAAATTATCTCTCCTAGATCAATTGATAAGTCAGAAGCCCTGGCACTTCCAGGTGTGGTTGATGTGATCACAGCAGAGGACGTTCCGGGAGATAATAACCATCAAGGAGAGATTCTCTATGCCCGGAATAAGGTGTGTTGATTTGTGTGTGGCTTATTACTCAATCCTTTTCTGGAAATGCCGAACTGGTTATTGGTTATGACTACAACATCCATGGATTCGTGTTCATGTTACTTGGAACCAATGTCTCCATCTCAGTGGTTCTCAATTTCTCTTTTGAATCATGGACTTCTCCAAGATTCTAATAGAAGCCTTAAGTCTTCCCAGAAAGGCTTCTAAAAGAGCACAATAGGCGTGGAAGAAATATAGAGCACAGAACACTGAAAGGACCAGCTGAATTTCAGGGTGCCTGGATCACCAGGTGTGCTATGGCAATGGTGAGGAATGCAGCTAGAGACGACCAAAGGGCAGATGATTACAGCCAGATAATTAAGTTCTGCATCCAACTTCTGTGCCTCTAAATCCCACTTAAGCCACTGTTTTAAGTTTACTCTCATACGTAGAAAACAGTCTTTCTCTGAGTCACAAACCCCCAGTGGGTAAATGTAAAGATGTAGGAAGAGTAATTCCTTTTTAATGATCCTATGCTTTAGCTAATTGTAACATGTGGCTTTTCTGCAGGTAATTTGCGTGGGACAGATTGTCTGCACCGTGGCAGCTGATACCTACGCTCGTGCAAGAGAAGCAGCTAAAAAAGTGAAGATCGCCTATGAAGACATAGAACCAAGGATTATCACGATAGAGGTATCAGACCCTTTGTGTCTTCTGGAATAATTAGAGCAGTGTTTTCAGGCAGAATTCAACCCAGAGTCACAAAATAGCATAAATTGGGCTCTATTTTGCTTTGCTCGGGTTGTCTATAATTCTAGAGTGAAGGCTCCAGCAGTTTGCACCTCAGGGTGGAACACTGAGACCTTTCCTGCTAGACCCCCCTTCCCACCAGTGCTTCTGCAGGGACCTATGGAAATGAAGCATCCCTGTGCCCACTTCCCCATGACCTCTTGCCAAGGCACGGCCTAAAAATACAGATAATTAACAGCAGAGACAGTCGTTATGACCTCACATGCCAAACTAGTCAGTGGGGGAGTCTTGAGCACCTTGGAACTCATAAAAGTTGTAACATGCACTGTATTGGGTCCTCATCTCCCTGGCCACTTACTGCTTAAGCACGGACTCTAGACTGCTTGGATTCACAATTTGACTCTGCTGTTCAATAGCCTCTTAGTAGCATTAAAAGCTTTGCCAAATTACTTAAACTCCTCACACCTCAGTTTCCTCATCTGTAAAATAAATGAGAACCATAAAAGTACCCACACCAAAAGGTCATTGTGAGGTTTAAATGAGAGAATCCAAGTAAAATGCTTCCAACAGCACTTAGGACAGGGAATTCATTCGGTAAGTGTTAGCTGTCATCTCTGTTTTAGTGGCTGCTGTGAATGAAGGTAAGGATGTGTTGTATTGTGCTTTATACCCCCATGCTTAGTATGCTCAGTAAACCTAGAGTTGGTGCTCAGTAATGTGTGTTGGAATACAGAGGGATGGGGGACAGGTGGGTCGATGGGTGCATAGGCAATATGAACCCCTCACCCCCAAGTAGGATTCAGTCCTCAGCATCCTCTTTGATTCTCCTCTGTTCTTCCTGATAGGTGCTAAGTTCAAGTCTTTCCCCATTATCCTTTAAATGCCCCTAAAGTCTGCCCTTTCCTTTCCACTCTCATTTCACTCCACCCTCCAGCCTAGTTCTCACACCCTTCTTGTCAGATTTACTAAATAACAACCCAAAGAGGCTGTCTACTATCTCAGCCCATCTGTCTACCACATTAACTTTTCTAAGCCACTGAGTTCATCAGATCACTGTTCCTGCTCAGCTGTGTTCCCTTAGATAAGGTTCAAGCTCCTTAGCACATAGTCCAGCCTTAATCCACCTTTCCAAACTCACCTTTGTAAATCTTCTACTGTTTCTTCATAGAAAACTTACACCGCAGCCAATTTGGCCTTGACCTTGTTTTGTCCGCTCAGTTTGGTTTCAACCTCAAACTGTTGTTTTACGACGTCATAAATGACCCAACCCATTTCCTTGGATTTTCTCGTAAGTGATTGAACTAAGGTCACCTATGCAAGACCATTTCTGAGCACACCAGGCCCACCAGCCCACTCCTCCTTGACGTCTCTTTACTTGGTTTTGTACCCCAGAGTTAGTACCTAAATACTAAAGTGTCTGAACCGTTAACTGCAAGGTGAGACCATGTCCATACCCTATGTCCCTCTCAACTCTTCCCCACAGCACTGAACCAAGTTAGTGAGTCCCCAACACCTGTAATCCACTTGAGTCGCCTTCTGCAGACGCTGATGCTGCCCTGGCTCCGGTTATCTTGGTGTGTAAAGGTCTGCTCAAATAGGAGCATGGAATTTTGATGGAGAAATGATTTATTAGAATGCCAAAGATAATGTTTTGGTTTGTTTTTTCACTGCAGCAAGCCCTAGAGCACAACTCTTTTCTTTCCGTTGAGAAAAAAATCGAGCAAGGAGATGTGGAGCAAGCCTTTAAATATGTTGACCAAATCATCGAAGGTAAGTAGTCTTGGACCGGAGGAGGGAAGCTCGTGCAGAGACAACGGGCACCCCAGAAAGCTTCCTTACGTTCCGTCTTACTAACCCTCCCCTGGGTATTATCCTAATTTTTATCACTGTAAATTAGTTTTGCCTCTTTCGAATTGTATACAAATGAAATCTTACAGTATAAACTCTTTAGTGCCTGCCTCTTTTCCTAACATTATGTGTGGAAGATTCATCATAAAGTTGTTGCATTTCTTTTTTATTGTTCGGCAGTATTTCATTATCCAAATATTCCACAATTTTTTTGTCCATTCACTAATGAACATTTGAGTTATTATCTTCTCACTGATAAACATTTGAATTATTTTCAGTTTGTAGCCATTATGAATAAGTTTCTAAAAATGCTATTATGCTTGAGTGTTAGTTAACATGAGCACTTATTTCTAATAAAATATACCAAAGAATGGAATCACAGAATAATAGGCTATTTGCATGTTTAGCTTTGGTAGTTAATTCTAATTTTTTTTAATGTACCAATTATTCTTCTATTAGCAATTAAGAGTTCCATCATTCCTTTGTTATTCTCAGCCTGCATAGTTTTATCTAATTTGATAGGTGTGTGATAGTATCTTATTATGGGGGAGGGGGAAGGCTGTGTGTGTTTTTTTTTTTTTTTTTTGAAACAGTCT